CCCCTGTGATGCTGATGTTTCGAGTCCAGGACCACACTTGGAGAGCAGCTGGGGTACAGCTCGAGGCTGCCAGTTGTACCTCCTGCTCTGTCTGGCATTATCTGGGTAACCTATCAGATTTAGCTCTGGCTGCTGGTGAAGCTTGTCGCTCTACCTTTTGCCCACTGGCCTGACTACTGGTTCAGCCCTGATTTGACATTATATTACCCTTTGATGCTAGTGGCTGTGCAAACTCCCAGCTCTCTTGGGCTGATACTGGCTAAGGTACTGCTTGATACAGGTGTCTCCCTTGACTTCCGTCCTAGAAGTCCTCAAAAGTCTTCCTCTCCATCCCCTAGGAGGCCAGGAAAGGCAAATTCCCATCCAGACAGCTCCTCACTGCCCCCTCCTGGTCCTTAGAAACCCAATATGGGCTGATTACACAAAAATTCAGAATTAGTCTTGCTTAACCTTAAAGAATCTTATATTCTAGCTGGGAAGATAAAAGCAATTCCTCCTAAAGAAACTTTAAAATATTTGCAAAGGTCTATATTGCAAAGGTCCAATTCAAATGAATGTAAAACTGAAGCTATCCATGTTAGAGTTACATGTAGCACTTTTTGTTCAATACTTCTGTTCCTGGACTCATATTTCCCACTGAATATCTCAATTAATTTCAGAGGTAATTCATAAGCCATGGATCCAGGGCTGGGAGTGGGTCCTAACAGTCCATAATTTTCTCAAAGGAGCCAGAAATCTCCCAGAAGATTCTCTGAGCTATGGAAGGCATCATGCAAACTTTGAAGTTCCCAGGCTAGATCACTAAGCCCTGTTAACTTTATCTGCCTCGGGAGACTCGAAAAAGCAGTGTAATTACTATGCTTGTTGCTGTAAAAGACTCAGGAAAATACTATGGAATAAGAAATGTGTTTTAATTTAACCTGTCTGGTGCTGTTTGAGGAAAAAAGGGTTCAATTACTGGAGGATGAGAAGGTCACCCAAGGGGACCTCAGGGACTTCAAGTCTATGACACAGTCTTTGTTCACTATTGCCCCCACCCACCAGAATTTATGACTTTAATTTTCTTGTGCAGGCGCTGCACCTGTATTTAGCTGCAGAGACATGAAGGGGGGTGGGTTGCAAGTGACACTGGAGGGGTAGAAAGGAATGGAAGGGGAAGATATCACCAAGAGAACTGGAGGGGAGTTTAAGAGAGTGTGTGACGAAGTCAGGGGGGACAAAAGGAGGGAGTAAGGGTAGTAAGGGGTCTGGGAGCGGGGAGGAAGGAGGAAGTGAGGGGAATGGTGATGGTGGTGGTGAGTTAACTCCAGAGGGAGTTAAGCATGAGAAGGTGGGTAACGTGAGAGCATGCATCTTCCTGCGGAAGGGGAGGTTCTGTGGAAGAGAGGAGCATTACATTATTGGTACCAAATCAAAGGCTGAACTCTGGGAACTCAGTCTTTTGGACTGGGAATCCCATTTATGGAGGCAGAAGTGAAAATGGGGGAGATTGGATCTGTTCCCTGCTTGTAGCAGCTTGCAACTTAGTACACTTCTTCCTGTCCCCGTAATCTAACCTACTTTCCAGTCCCCCCACCAAGAAAAGGCATGACTATGCGGAGTTTGAGCCCAGCTCAACAGTGTCCAGAAAGATCCGTTCCTATAGCCTGACCCTAACTCACCTCACCCTCCTCAGATTGCTGTGGGCCTCCACCTGCCAGAGTAAGATGCCATACACCTGGCTCTGGGGCTAATGGCCCACACTCTCTAAGCAGTGCTCCTACTCCATCCTGTGTCCTGGGCTTCTAGCTTTCTCTCTTCAGCCCTCTCTACCTGACATCTTCAATTTAACTCCAGATCAAAGGTCTCTTCATCTTGTCCCTAGAGGCAGCTCTGACCCTCTTTCATCCCCACAGCATCCTGTGGGGCCCTAAGGGAGCTGAATAATTTGGCACTCCTACCATCCCCCGGAAACCGCCTTTGAGCCACATCCCCACTTCATGTCACAGACTCCTGCCCCCTGTACACACAATCCAACCTTCCTGCTGCCCTTAGACCTGGGGACCCTGTCCCTGCTCTGGTCCTCCACGTCTCAGAGGGCATCACCCTTGTCCCAGGGCAAGGAGTACAGGGGTATGAGGATGTCTCCTCTGGAGCCCCACCCATCCCCAAACTCATGCTTTAGGAACTCCCTGCCCAAGTGGCCCAACCTCCAGAGTCTGTGCCTCCAGAGCAGGCTTGTGGGCACAGGTACCCCAGGACAGCTCTGTGCGGGAGGTATGCACAGAGCTTGGGTGCTATATGTCACACCTGAAGGCCCCTTACTGTGTGGGATGGAACTGAGGGTCACATAGGGCCTTGAGGCTTAGAAAAAGGTGCCTGTGATGACTTGCTCTATGCAAAATTTCAAGGAACAGAAAATTCTGAGTTCAGACCTAACCTTCCAGGTGTTTCCAAGGTAGGAAGATAGACCATGTTTTGTTTAATAGCAAGTTAGTCTTGTTTATGACTTTTCAATACTTAGACCTGTGTATGGTATGGGGCTCTTTGATCCTTGGCCTGGGCTCTGCAACTTTTGGGGTGAAACTATCCAACTCCAAGCGCTACTGAGCAGTGAAAACTTTTCTGAAGTTTTGCCAGAAGAAGAAAGGAGAAGGCAACATTACCTATTACAAAAACAAAATTTGCAAAATTTTTGTGTAGACACTTGCCTGAGGCTACACAGTTCAGTTAGATCTGGAACTCAAGCTATCCCAGCTGTTCAAGCTTTTCAACTTCCTCAGCATGAGTCTCAAAGGAGGTGAGCCTCAAGAGGCCTCCAGAGGCCAAGACACTGGCTATTCTGCCAGGACCACTGCAGGAGAGGTTTCTGCAGGGAGTTCTGGCCTTTCCACATAGGAGGAAGACAGAGGCCCTAGTGTGAGTGGGTGAGGTTGAAGAGTATCCTGTAGTGATAGATTCTTGTTAGCACTTCTCCCTGGGCAGGGCTGGATAGATGGTGGTGCTCAAAGCCCAGGTCCCTGGGGCCCAGCAGAAGGATGAGGGGAGCTATGATCATTCCTGATGCTGGCACGGTGCACCAGGGCTTCCAAAGCACTGAAAAGTGTTATTCCTGCCCACTCATCTCCTACTCCCTGCCTGGGCAGCAGATGCATCCTTCCAGGCTCACAGCACTCCCACTGCAAAGCTCGCTTCTCCGCACCCTCACAGCCCTGTGCTTCTGCTCCAGTTTACATAAACTACTCTCTACAGACAACAGCTATGTGAGTTTGGTCACACTGTTTCACCTCTGCGCATCCATTTTATCATCTGTGATCTAAGGGGGTTTGTGCAAGGATTAAATGAGAGAACACACAGAGCATCTGCCCTGTACTTGCTAGCCTTGATGATGCCGGTTGCCTCCTGCTGATGGTGGATTGTGGGTGACTTCCCAATATCTTGCAAACTCCTTGAGGATAGCACAGGATTATATCTGGCTCTCTGTGCCTCTCTGAACCAGCCCAGGGACCTGAGCACTCTAGGCCCATTTATTTGATCCACAAGCATTTATTGCTTTCTATGTGCCAGGCCCTGTGAGGGAATCTGGGTTTAGGGATAAATAAGGAGGTCAAGGGACATAGACCTATAGGTAAAGAGTGCAGCAGAGGGTCATAGGTGCTGGTCAGAAGCCCTATATGCATGTTCAGCACAGGGAAGAAATGGCAGTTGCAATCCAGTCAATGCTGGCTGAAATGAACTGAGTTGCTCTGTTTGAACCCCTTAATCCCTGCAACAGCATTAAGGATGAGGAGGTGGGGACTGAGAATGTCCAGCCACTAAGTCATGGGGCAGGGCCTAGGACCCAGCCCTCACTTCTCAAAGAAAGGGGCTCATAGCAGACCCCTTGGAGATTTCCTCCACTGCTCCCCAGCCTTGGCTTCCTTGCAGTCTTGCAAATTAAAGGAGTTCCGGGCAAAATCCATTCATCCCCTGGGCTCTACCTGGTGCCAGCCCCTGAGCTCCAGGGTATTTTTAGTTCTGGGCGGCCAGGCCTGGGTGGGTGACTGGCAGCAGCCCTCTGTGTTGCTCCTGGCTCAGCATGAGAGGTGGTTGGGCACAGGGAGGGGTTCCAGAATACCTGGCACCCCCAGTCCACAGCTGCCTCATTGTCCTCGGGGGAGGAGCTGGGCTGCTGCTGCTACCACTGACCCAAAGCTTGGAGCATTCTTTCCTATTGATTCATCACTAGGAATGTTTTGGGCCCAGCTGGGGTGGGGCAGGGGCAGTGTGGGGACATCTTAGATCTGGGCGTCCAGGGATGGATGGCAGTTCCCCAGAAGCAGGGTCCCCAAGATCCACCTAGCCATCTGGTACTTATCACACTCAGTTTTTCTTGCTAGTCTACCTTTCCCCCACCACCACCCTGGGAGTCTGCCCCCCAAAACTGTAACACTCCAGCATCCTGTCTAGGACAGAGGAGAAAATCAATAAAGGCTTGCTGAATGAAGGAGCCTTTAGATGGACACTAGGGCACCACGGAACCAGGGAGCAAGCTGAGAGGCTGGAGTCCTCCGCCTATTTTACAGAGAGCAGGCACTGAGAGGGACCGGGACTGTGGGAAAGACACTGGGGGCTGGTGTGGAGTTCAGCCACTGGGTGCTCACTCATCTGGTGGGGCTCCCCTCTCAGACATTTCCACATTTGTTTTATTCTGCCTCCTACCCTCCCCCCACATCCTCCTCCACATCCTCCCTCAGAAGCCTGACAAGAGCTTGGCCCGCCTCATGCAACTTTATATAACGGTATAATGGAGAATTTAAGTTCTCTTGTTCACTGTTTATCACCCATGGGAGCAAGTCACGTCCAGTGGGGGCTGAGAGTTCCCAACAGCAAATAGGAAGAACAGAGCTTCGCCCCCAGGTAGCAGTCAGTAAACTCTGGGGACGAGGGCAGTGGATAAACAGCACAACGGCTCACTCCGACTTCACCTCCCAAGAAGGGCGCCCACACTGATCTGGGCGACAAGCTCGTGGGATACGAACCCTGAGACAGCAGCTCCACGAGAGGGGCCCGGTCCTGGGACTCTGAAAGCAGCTCTTCTGCTGAGCGTGTTCACCGCGCTTGATGAGCGGGACAGCCCTTGTGAGAGGAG